GAGCTCCTGGGTTTGAATATTCTCCCAGATCTTTCTTGCTCCTAGTGTCACCAGCCTCCCATGTCTCCCTCCGAACTCCACCTCGGAGAGAAATTTCCTGCAGGGATTGGAGGGATTCAGGCCGAAAGACGATGGCATTTTGTGATGGTGGCTCAGGCACTGGGGCCTCATGACGTCAGAGAGAGACAGGGCCTGATCACAGTGCAAGGCCTGTTAGTACACCCCACTCCACCCCTTTCCCTCCACCCCACCCCCTCCACTTCTCTCCATCCCCCACCAGCAGAACACACAGTCCCAGCACTTCATGTCCTGACGCACACCCAGATACCCTGGGGCAGGAGTTCCTGGAGTGGTCACTCGCCTTCTTTCTGCTCCAGGATTCAAGGAAACCCAGCAGACCTCTTGTTTCCCCCAGCACTCACATTCACATTCCCAGCTGTGTGTCCACCCCACTTCAGATCCCCCGCCTGGCCCGCTTACTTCCTCTCTTCCCCAAGGCCCTGGCTGCCCCCAATGCCATCAGTCTCCCTCTTCCCAAGACTCTTCAGTCCTTACCTCCCACCCGGGATCCCTTTACCCATGGCCCTGCGTGCTCCCACCGCATAAACACACACCAGCAGAGTAGTTACCGAATTTCTCTTCTAAACTTTAACACCTCCCTCCTCACTCTTACCGAGTTGGACAGAACATCTTTTGAAGATGAATCGACCCTGGCATTTTGCCTGCCTTATTTGCATAAAAATAATTTTTGCAGAACCAAACGAACGTTTGTAGGAGGCAAGTTGCAGTGAGATCCTTTCTCTCCCTCCATCACTGTCTTTCAAAAAATTTTTTTACATCTCTTTTCTTTCTCTCCCATGTTTCCTTTCCTCTTTTCCCTCCTTCTTTCTTTTCTCACAAACCATATGTCTTTATTGAGAACCCACTCACACATTCTGGAGTCACTGCCCCAGCTGCAGGGACACCGAGGGGGCAGAACCACTGCGGCTGGCCCACACTGCACTTCAGTGCGACGCCCAGATCCCCATCCAGTCCTTAAAACATAAATCCAACCCCATTCCAATCGATTTTCCAATGGGAGAGAATTGCGGCGCCAAAGCTTTTGCGAACAACTGCAGGGGTGGGGTGGGGCGGGGTGGGGGAGGGGGTTGGTGACAGTCACTAAACCAGGTGCAACATGGGCCACAGGTTGACCCAGCAATCACCAATTGGAATCCGTCCAAGAAACGCGAGGTCAGGACCTGGCGTTTTGATTTCGTCCTGGTGAACACGGGAAAGCCATTCTGCAGAACTGAGGGTTTCGTCGAGTTTGCTGAATAATCAGACTGCACCCTGAGAGTGGTGGCTGGGACCCAGTGGGCAGCCAGGCACATCCCCGTGAAACGACGCCCTCTAGATAACGCAAAAAAGATCTGGGTGGCAGGTGACCCCACCCCCTCCAGTTCAGGGACACTATTTTACACAGAAAATAAGAAGAAATTACATTCCTCCTAAGGCTTGTGTCTGGCTCAATGAGGTCATCTCTCAGGGCCCCAAGAAGTCCATGGGCCATGAAACGCTTGTGCCTGGGGCCCACAAGTGAGTTGGAGGTTCACTTGGTCCAAGCAGACTCCACTCATTCCGGCTGGACTATGGATACATGCATCCAAGCCGGCCGGGAGGGAGGGCCCTCTAGGAAACCGGGCATGCCTCCCCCAGGCTTGGAGGGGCAGCAGCCATCCGTTTCACCTGAGTCTCTGACGCTGGGGGCAGAGGGAGCAGCAGCAAGTTATTTCCTTTTTTTTTTTTGTCTAATTATCCTGCTATTGTCCTCAAGGCTCCAGCCTTATTTTCCATGTGCACAGATAGTGCGGGTGGACACCACGTTCGTTCACAAAACTGTGGTGGAGACTCCCTTGGCTGCTTTCTAGGTAATTTGTCAGCCTGGGGAAATGACGCTGCCTTCCCAGCTTGTGCTCATGGCTGCAGGGCCCAGGCATCTGCCTTCCAAGCCACACTGAGAGGTCACTCTCTTGCCAATTAGCGGAATGGGGACTCTGTGGCCCACAGGTTCCGGGCGGCGGAAGGGGCCTGCTCCGGGGAGTCTGAGACAGTGATATCTTTAGCTTCCGCAGAGACTTTGGAAAGAAGTAAAGGGGAGGCCCAAACTTCAGAGAGAGGAAAAGAGTGGCTGGAGTTTAGAATCGAGGTGCGGTCTTTGAAACCAGTCTGGGAAACCGGGAACCACCCGCCCTCCGCGGACCTGTTGCTCGGGTGGTGCCTGCTCCAGGCTCTGGGCCTGATCTGGGCTGGTCTGGCTGTGAGTGGGCGCCACCGGCCCAGGAGCCTTAGCCAACATGGCTGTCCTGCACTGCCCGTCCCTTACCCCGCCAACCCGGTCTCGGACTTCGGGGATGTCAAACTCAGGGAATTTGGACTCCAGGGAATTTGGAAGTAACCCCAGAGCCCTACCGGCCCAGCTGCCGGGAGCCTGAGTGTGCCCTCCCGCCCTTCTCTGGGTCTCCAGGGTCCTCTGTCCGCTGCTAGGGTGGGGAAGGGACGAACTAATCTTCTGGCTACATTCAAATGTACTCAGAGCGCTCCCGAGGGGAGAGGCTGGGAAAGAAAGACCCCTGAGATGCAAGTTCCCACTCTCCACACCCTCTGGTCTCCATTTGTACATTTTCATAGCAGGTGGCGATTGGCTTACAGATGCGAGTACTGGACTGGCACCCACGGGCACTCAAAATCAATTTCACCCGTCAGTACCTCCATTCAAAGGTCCTCCCGGCTCCACGATGGCCATGGACGCGCAACCCGGGAGAAAGAGTCTGCCTGCCTCAAGCGCGTCCTTTCATGGATCCACAGGCTCTCGGGAGAGAGCACGCCCCGCGGGAGAGTGCCGGACCGCGGGGATGGCTTGGAGACGGAGCCCTCGGCTCCAAAACGAATGAGACTCAGCCTTGGACGTTCTCTAACCCCTCACCGCCGCAGGTCCTGGGATTCCTTTTAATTGCGAGTTGAGTCTGCATTTGCCCTCTTGAAACACACTTTGAGTACCTCCCTCCTCCAACGAGGACCACTGAACTTAGTGCTCTGGCTGCTCCACTCAACCTTTGGAGACAGAAAATTTGGAAAAAGCCTAGCTCTCTGGAAAGTAGCTTAGAAAACAGAACACAGGCTTTGGTGGCCCCCAAGTGTGCAAAAAGGAAATGAGAAAGTTTTCCCTTTGACAAATTGAATCATTTAATGTCAAACCAGGTTAAACAGGGCTGCATTCTAAGCAGCATCCTGCCTGTGTACTATGGATGCACATGGGGTGGGTGAGGGGATGTCCAAACTTTTTCAGGTGCTTCCAGAGGCCTGTCTCCATTGCTCAGAGGGTCAACCAAGCCTTTTAACTTTGGGTCCGGGCCGAAAGCTGCCTGCCTTTCCCTCTTGCGAGTGAATTTTTAAAGCGCCAACTCGCAGACCGCTGAGCAGCTAGACTTCCCCCAGTCCTCATTTTACTTTAGTTTGCCTTAATTAGGAGGTGGGGAGTTGGGGTTGGGGGCCTGAGTTCACGTAAAAACTATCAGGAGTTAGTTAAGAGAAGTGGGGACAAGAAAGAGAGGTGGAGAACTCCAGCCCAGAAAAAAAAATTCAAAAATTGTAAAAGGAAAAGAGGGAACTGGAAGCCCAGAAGTCATTGTTTCCTTTATTTCAAAGGGAAAAACCTGCCTGATTCTCATCCTTTTGATTGATTAAGGCCCTGAATACCTCGCAGCCCCGGAGTGACAGTCCCTGAATAGACCCAAGCGAATAAAGCGCAGTGCAGAGCGCGGGGCTGGCACTCGGGGGTGTAAAGGAGGCGAGTTCGCTGGCACTTACCAAGTTATAAATAAAAGGCTATGCACAATGGCACCTTCTCTAAGGACAGACAGTCTTTACAACACTCCTGGCGTCATATCCTGCTGGGGACACTTCAGCTCCTAGCCAAGACTTCGCTCCTTTTATTTTTCCAGCAGTTTAGTCTGAATACCATAATAAATTCCTGAGAACAAACGCTGCAGCGGGGCAAAACTTTAACATACAGACGCATTTCTGCCGAAGCAATGGGGGGATCTATACCTCCAGATTTAGAACTGGGGCTTCCTAGAGCGGGCTTTTTAATCAAGAAGAGGAAACCCTTTTCTTTTTCCTCCCCTCCCCAGCTTACAACTAGCCAGTCCCAGGGCCTCCAGCCATTACCTAAGCTTCACACTATTCCTGCCCCCAGACTGAGAAGACAAAAGAACTGATCAGCACACCCTGGGCTCCTCCTGGGAGGAACCCCACTGAGAAGACCCCCATAACAAGCCTAGGCCAAGGGGCATGGACCAGAGGAAGGAAGACTGAACATGTCTGGGGGCTTCAGTGCCTTCTTACTGGAATTGCGCCCCCTTCAGTGGCAGTAAGCCAAGAAAAATGGGAACAGGGAAGAGCCACAGGTAGAAAAACAGAGACATAGAAACACACAGAGAGATGGAATGAGAGGAAGAGTCGAAGACAGCAAAAGACACGCGGAAATACACAGAGAGAGACAAGGAGACGGAGAAATAGAAAGTCAAGGAGAGAGACACACACGCAGAGTGACAGAGAGACTCGAACCCCTCTGCACTCCCAGAAGGTGCCATCACCCTCGGGCTGTCTCTCCCCGTGGGTCTACCCTCCTCTCTACGGGGAAGGGGCGCCGCGCGGGTCCCTCTCTCGGGCCGGCAGAGGCCCCGGCACCACCGGGGGATGGGAAGAGAAAGTGGCCGCTGTTGCCCAATCAGCGCGTGTCTCCGCCACCCGGGACGGTCTCCCCGTCGGCCAATCGCAGCTCAGGGCTCCTGACCAAGCTTTGGGAGAAAGACTAATAAATGCTCCCGAGCCCGGATCCCTGCACTCGGTGTCACGACCGGGAGGAGACTCACGGCCGGCCGCCCTCCCGCTCCCACCCCCAC